ACGAACGTTGGAAGGTTTCGTCTTCCTCTAATCGCACCATGCACAAAAAAGACACAATTTCGAAGAAAAAGTTTTTTTGTATAGTTTTTGAGAGCCAATAAACGTAGTGGAAACTCATATAAACTGGACGACATTGAAAAAGCATCATCAAGAAGTTCACAAAAGCTTTCCTCAAAAAACTAACTAAGCAAATTGTGAAAACTCAAGTGGAGTTTCTTCGTAGGCTTCAAAAATTATTATGCCTGACCTTAACAATGAAAACCCAGTTTTGATCAATAATTTAGTTTCAAAAAATTTCTGGGTCTGAAAAATCCAGTTTTCACCATCTGCACTAAGTTTTTCATCGGAGTTAACTCTTTCTTCAATAATCGGAGAAAAAAATGTTTATGCAGCGTAAAAAAATGTGAGCAAAAAAAATTTGATTTGTTCATTGTGGCAATTTTAATATATTCAGCTGTTTCTTGAAATATCACGCGTTCTGAAAAACGTCGTGTAGTTGATGAAAACTTGCCTTTTCAGACCCAGAAAGCACTGGTAAGTCTTTAAAACCAAGTTTTGTTAATTTCATAGAGGGTACTTTTGATAATTTTTTCTTGGTCTATGCAAAATTTTTGCTGAATTTCGATGGAAATTTTGTCCAAAATGGACATTGGGGACAGGCATTTTAGAGAAAAAAACTGAATTGGCAATTAATTTTGTCCACTAATGTATTGCTATCTACTATCAGAAAAAGCAAATCAATTTTCCCATTTCCGAAAAAACTGCCCCTTGATAAAAATTTGGGCTCATCGGTTTTTGCTGTCGCGTTTTCACTTGCCAATATAGGTTGTGTTGAATTGGTTTTTTTTGCAGAACTAAATGTTTCACAATTTGAATCTGATTTCTCTATTTAAGTTCAGTCGATTTCTGCTGTTAAAAGGAATGTAAACTCCACTATCGAACAGCAAACGTGAGTGAGTTTTGTTTCGAAGTTGGATTTTTATTCAGATTTTTCAGTGGAATAAAAAAGCTAGCTACTGATCCAGTTTTCTCAAGTTGGGTCAATTTTGTTCCAAAACAGTGTCAATCATAAGTTATTTAAATTCAAATAGCTGTAAAATCATATTTTCTTTGATATTCGAACGTTGAATTAATTCAAGATCATTTTATAAAACTTTTCTGTGTTTTCATTGACTCTTTTCCTATTGTCTGCTTGGTTCGCTCCATAAAAAAGTGACTTATTTTGAAGTTTTTTTGCTTGACTAACTATCTTATAAATTTTTAAATAGTTTCACAAATCGATTCGATCAATAGAATAACTATAAATAATTGGAAGAGTCATCGCTTGAATAGCTTGCTTAGAAACAGATTAATTTTAATTTAGAAAAACTGAAACTAAATGCAATCCCATTCTCTCTATGAAATAACTTGAGTATTTCAATGCGTGATTAGCTTGCTCCGATTGTAGTTTTTTCGCGAACCGACCTGCTTTTTTTTTTACTTGAAATATTTCAGTTTAAACAAATGAATAGTTTGCTCGAAACGTTTTTTGGAACCGAATCACGCAGTAATTGAATTTTTAATTTTTCGAGAATCATGCCTTGAATGGCTTGCTTAAAAAAAACTCAATTTATCGCAAGTCGTTTCGCCTCGTTTTCAAAGTTTCTTTGCTTGAATAGCTTGCATTGTGTGATTCAAAAACTTTTTGCAAATCGATTCGGTCTTTGAAAAAACTTAGATAATTCAAAATATCATCGCTTGAAAAGTTTTTTTTTCAGAAAAAAATTGTGGTGTAAGTAAAAAAAAGAAATAGCTCGAAATTTTTCAAAAGGTTCCTCGTTTCAATGGCTAGCCTAGAACATCTTACGTTTTATTCGAATCGTTTTTTTAAAGTTTTTCAAAATTTTATTTCTCGGTTGAACTGCTCGCAATTTGAGCTGTTTGCAAGTTTATTCACATCATGGAATGATTTTTTTCAAAAAAAAAATCAAATTAAGTTGCTGGAATAGGTTTCTCAGAAAACTAACTTGCGCAACCAGTTTACGGTATGAAATATCTTTAAAATTTCATAAGCTTCATCGCTTGATTGGCTTGCTTAAAAACATTTTGAATCAGAAAATTTTTTTGAATCGATTTAAGGTTCAAATTAACATCATATTTTTTGCGTATCGAGTTAAAATATGAAATTCTATCACACTTGCGATAAACAACGGTATTTCAATCGGTTACTCGACTTTTTTATTTTCGGTAAATAATTTCGTTCTCATAATTTCTTATTTCAAGATCGCCATTTTCAGCAAATTGCACGTTCAGTACTTCTAGTTACTGTGTCTATAGTTAATGCGTTAATGGATCTCATAATTTAAAAAGTTTCAGCTGTAACATTTTTTAGTAGACTTTATTAACTTCGGCCCTATTTTTGCCGGTTTAATGCCAGCTGTTTATTTTAAAATGAATTGTCTGATTCTGTTCAAAGAACGTGCACGCGCAAACGCTCTTATGTGCACGCTTTTCAAACACTATTTGTGAAACACGCTAAGACTTTCAGTTTGAAAAAAAAACTTTGAAGCAATTTTGTTTGATGTTTTTTTAAATGTTTGTTCAGTTCTTTTGAAGGCATGGTTTCTGATTTTTTTGTTCTGATAGTGTGTGTAGTTAGCTTAATACAACTTAGTATCAAAATTTTGTTTTGATCGATTTCATTTCCAATCCTTTCAAGGTGATATAAAATAAGTTTCGGAAAAATAAGTGTTTTTTTTTCATGTTTTTTTTCGTGTTTTTTTCATGTTTGTGATCTTTTTGTTGTATTTCAGCTGCCTTACCGTTACTTATCAGCTTACTATTTGACAGGATTGTTGTAGTTTTTCAAATTTTTTTTCTGCATTTTTGTTATAGTAATTGTTTAAAATTTTTGTATACAAGTTTTTTGAAACTTTAATGTTTATTTCTTTCGTGCACTTTGATTTTTGTTTTAGCAAGCAATCTAAGTTTTGATGAATTGTGGATTTTTTGGATCATAATTTTTTGGCCGAATTTTTTCTTTTTTTGTATCCTTTGCATCTAATAGTATTGAGGCAGAGATGAATTGAGTTTGTGTATCTTAAATCCGCTATGCATGTTTTTGTTAATTGATTTCGATAAAAATTTTCAACCGGCAAATTCTTCAACATAATTCATTTAATTATTTCTTTTTGTTTCGTAAGAGCCAGATTATCTTTCGAATTTTGGCATGTATTTACGTTTCGCAAGTGGCGCGTAGCTCTGCTTGGCCTCTCTGTGAAAAAAAAATCGCTTGAATGTCTTGAGAAGAAAAGTTTTGCGAACTGTTTCAAGATGAATTACACTGGAACAATTCGCTTGAATGAATAGCTATCAAATTTTGCAAACCAAATTACGATAGGGAATCGGAGAATGAAAAATTCAAATATTTTAATTGAAGCCATCCAATGATGAAACTTTGAAACATTTCCTGTGATTTCAGGAAAGGAATCGGATAGCAAGTTTTTTTATTAGAGCCATTCATATGGAAATTTGAATCATTTTATAGATCGAATTGATTTGCAACTAACCAACTGGCTATGCTAGTTATTAAGTGAACAACTTATTTCAATATGTCAACTTATTTCATAACGCGAATCAGTCCACGAACAATCAAGATTTTCCTAAGCATGCTTTTCAAACTATGAAACTTTGAAATATATCAAGTTATTTGATGCATAAACTGCTGGGTTGGCGAAAAATTTAAGTGTTTCTAAGAAAGCTATTTAAGTAATGAAGCTTTGAAAAATTTTAAAGATTTTTCATGAAGCGAATTGGTTTACGAAAAGTTTTTCATTAGCAAGCTATCAAAGCTTCAAAACCTTGAAATATTTCAGGCTATTTCATGAAGGAAATCGGTTTAGAAAAAGTGTAAGTTTTCTCAAGCAAGATATTCAACTTAATCAAGTAATTTCCTAGACCAAATCGGTTCGCGAAAAGTTCGAGCTTTTTTAACCAAGTTAGTCAAGCTATGAAACATTGAAAATTTTCAATATGTTTCATAGAGTAAATCAACAAGTTTCACTTAAACAATTTATTAAGCTACGGAAATTTGAAATATTTTTAGTCATTTCATGAAGTGAATCGGTTCCTGAAATATTTAAATTTTTCTCAGGCAAACTTTTGAACCTTTAAAAAAGTTTCAACTTATTTCGTAGACCGAATAGGTTTGCAAATTGTTTCGGTTGTTCCAAGCAAGCAATTCCAGCTATGAAATTTTGAAATATTTCATGTTATGTCATAAACCGAATCAATTTACAAAAACTTAAAGTTTTTCTAAGCAAGCTATTCAAAACTATGAAACTATAAAACAATTCAAGTTGTCTCATAGACAAATCGGTTCACGAAAAGTTAAAGTTATGCTAGGCAGGCTATTCAAGCCTTGAAACTTTGAACTATTTCAAGTTGTTTCGTAGACTGATTCGGTTTGCAAAAACTGTTATATTTTTTTTCAGGCAAGCTATCAAACTACGAAATATTTCAAGTTGTCTCATAGACAAGTTATTTCATATATCGAATCCCTTTTTCTAAAAGTTTGTTTTTCTAAGCATGGATTTCAGACTGAAATGAATCGTTAAAAGCAAATTTTTGAATTTGAATTGAGTTCATCTCGCTCTAATTGTTTCTCTGACTGATTCTTAAAGGTACTGATCTGAGCGTTTGAGTTAGTTGGCCCAAAAACAATATCAATTTTTAACAAAATCCGAAATCAGGGTTTGGCTATTTTGTTATGACAATATTCTTTATCAATACTTCCAAAATTTTCCCACTACAAAAGTTGGTCATTCGGTACCAGATAACTGTTTTTGTATACAAACTATGAATGTCTGAAACTGCATCTCTGAATTTAAGAGGGTTCAATTTGTTTCCGAATGGCAGCCTCGATTAAAAGACCCATGAATTGTTTCGTGTGCTGAAAATATATAAAGCTTGAGACCCTCAAATAAAAAGCGCTTTCAACTTAAAAACTAAATTTCCAGCAAATTAAAAAATAAAAGACGCGGTTTTTAATCGAAAAAAGACGAGTACTTATATTTTACAGTTGCTTTATAGCCTTTTCAATTGTTAGTCTGTGGCCTAAACTTGTTACTCCCAACTCGGCCAAATCTTCTTTCGAAAGCATTTTCAAATGACTGCCTACAATATCGTTTGATTTGAATTTGTCTTCATAATCAGACATCTTAATTGATCTCAACCACTCGCAAACTGTTTCTACGCTCCACTGTTCGACTGGCTGCATGTCAATTGCCATCGATGCTACATTACCGCTGGCACCGTTTGTTAAATTCGCATTCTTATTGGTCGAAACATTAGGCTTAGCTGCTACAACTGGTTTCGGAGATGAAATGTGATTGGTCAAATTTGGAGCTGAAATCGGATTGGCTGAATTTGTTTGCACTGATGAGTAGCTGAATGGTCGACCAGAAGTCCCGCTGTAGTTCAAGTTGAATCTCGGAGTAGATACTAACGGTTGGTCCGGTTTTTCTCTACTAGTAATGTCAAATCTCGGGTATGTGTGAGACGCTACGCCTAAACTGCTACTGGTGACGGCGGTATTCGGCGATGAAATGTTAAAGTCAGATTCAGACGAAAGAGGTTTTTGGGCATTCTGAGAAGGGTTCCTTAAGTCGGATGTATCGGTTGGGATCGGGGCTGAGGAAGGAGGCGTTGGTCCTGCTTTGGGTTGCAACAGTGGTTTTGGGGGAAGTGCGCCGACATCTACAAAATTATTTAAATGGTTATAAAAAATTTGTTTTGGCATTTTGCAAACAACCGAAATCATGAAAACCCTAACTTTGAAGTTCTATCAATTGTGCTGTAACCGCTTGTATGAGACGCACATCAGAAACCACCAAGGTTTATATATGATTGATATAAAATGACAATTTTGAAGCAATTCAACAAACATTTTTTGCTGACAAACTCGAATTTTTTTGAAAAGATCCCATGTTGTCCAGTTGGGATTTTTCCCTATCTGTGAAATTTGTTATTCATGATTTTTTTGACCAGTTTTGTCGAAAAAAAATAAGGTGAGCAGAACAATTTTCCTGTAACATATAATTAAATTGAACCATTCTCCAGATAAACGCAAGCAGCCAGTTTCAGATCACGATATTTTTTCCCTACACAATCGATTCGAAAATAAAGGGGAATACAGTTGTGGCATATTGCAAATTAGAAATTAATTTTTTTAATATTACTTACGGTATTCACTATCACAAATCAGTTTGTGTGTAATCGTTTAGAGCTACAAAAGTGTTAAAAAAACGTAGTTAAAACTAATCCAAGACAATTAGGTAATTGTTTAAGCTAAAGACTAGTTTAATAATGAGTTTTGAAATAAAAAAAAGGATTTCTACAAAGATTTTTATAGTAAACTTTTAAACTAGGACTAGTTTAATTTTCTTAAAAAGGTTATGCTATGCTAAGAAAGGTTCACATTGGACTTTTGAAAATTCTCGATACATTTTTCTGAAACATCATGACCGCATTCATTTTTTGTTTTTGTAGGTAATTGTTTTCTTAACCCGTTTCAGTCATGCTATTAATTCACTATTTCCTAAACGAGATTTTAACTACTACAACTCCCCCTCCCCCTCCCCCACGTCAACTTTCATCCCCCCAGCGAACTATAGCCATAGTAACATCACTGTGAAGAGGTGTAGGGGTACATTTTTTCTCTTACTTGTCTATGCGTCTATTGACTAAAATTGAAAAGATTCCTAAAATGTGTGTCTTACTGTTCTGTTGTCCGAAGGTGTTCAAATACGATGGTTTGCTGGGCGTGACCGACTGATTGATCAGCTGCAACAGTCGATCCGACTTAGGATAATTGGACCGGCTCAAAACCTCTTTCGCTGTCGGACTGCGACCAGTCTCTACGACGCTCTTGGTCGATACTTCCGAGCTCATACTGCCATTTGGTAGCGTCGGAGTATTCGTTGGAGTCGTGGATTTACTTCGGTTTTCGTATTCGCTGAGTATTTCATTCAAACCTGTGCGACTTGCAGATAGAGGCCTGTCTCCTTGTCCACTTATACTGTTTGTATTTATGTAACTGGTTTTAGGAGGCACTATTGCGAGGTGAGAAGAGTTTGTTGATGTTGTTGTTGTGTTGACTGAAGTGATGTTCATGAGGTGGTGGTTGTGACGTTGTTTTAAGAATGTTGAAACCGGAGGCTGTCTTTCGGATCTCGTTGAGTCGGGCGAGGCACTGGCCGACTCATATCCCTGATGAAAACAATTATAGGATAACAAGAAATATGGAAGTTTCTAGAGCTAATGCTAAATAGTTTTTTTTCTTCATTTTATCCCTCCGCACGCTATGTAAAATAATAAGAGGTTATTTAGCGTCTCGTATCATAATAAGATGACAAAGTTACTTGTTGTTCCGACTTTCGATACGAAAGTAACGGAATATTTGTGCTCGGGGTGGGTTTTTTTTCTTCAGACAAATTTTGACTTTTTAACTAGCCATTTTTGACGGAATTTTCTTATATCATCCAAAAGCTATTGTTGTCCTGAGCTTAAATTTGAAAAGATATTTCACTTATGACCTTTTTTCGTAAAGTTATGGGGGTTTAAAGATTGCCATTTTGGCCAATTTGGAACAATAAACGCGCGATATATTTCGCGCTATTAACGCGTAAGCGGAGATTTAATCCGTCTTAGAAATCGTTCCAAATTGGTTCAAGAAAACTTATATGCCATAAGTGATATTATAATAGGAGCAAAATCTATCTTTTTGTACTTTATATGGCGTGTGGGGGATGATTTTCATAAAAATTTTCAATTTTAAGAAAAAAAAATTTCATTTTATTTTATATTTAATTTTTTTTCGTTATTACTGCTCATGAAACCTCAAAGGGCAGTCGGAACATCCAGGGCTTCGCCCTGATACGAGCAGTCTTGTTTAATTCAATTTGGAACGATTTAATCCGCCGCTTACGCGTGTTTTAATAACGCAAAAAATCTCGCTTATATAGCCTAATTTTGCCAATAGCTGTCATATGGTATCGGGTGTTACAACAGGGTTTTATTTCCGTAAAGAACTCGGTTCACAAGATTTTGGAAGTGAACATATTACACGTCTTTTAATTTGCCTCATAGTTATCCCAAAATCAATGAAGCATCCAGCGCATCTGGCGTAGAGGTAACAAAGTTGCTCCAAACGATTAAGGCTTGTGATTTGAACAGGGCCGGGACATTTTATTTTGACAAACTAAAAATTTTCTGCTTTTTCGGATTATCTTCCGTCTGTTTATTTTTTTTCAGCTTAGTTCCTTGAGCACAGACGCTTTTTGAAGAGTCAGTTTTGTTCTATTTGCACAGACGCTTTTTGAAGAGTCAGTTTTGTTCCAATAAACAAGACTGCTCGTATCAGGGCGAAGCCCTGAATGTTCCGACTGCCTTTTAAGGTTTATGGAGCAATAATAACATAAAAAAGTTAATGTAATAAAATAAAATGAAAAAAAAAATTCTAAAATTTGAATTTTTTTTACGAAATCATCCCCCCCACACGCCATATAGAGTACAAAAGAATAGATTTCGCTCAATTATGGCAAATAAGCTCAATTATGGCAAATGAGTAACAAATCAATTATGGCAAATAAGCTTCTTTCATCCAATTTGGAACGATTTCTAAGACGGATTAAATCTCCGCTTACGCGTTCATAGCGCGAAATATATCGCGCGTTAATTGTCCCAAATTGGTCAAAATGGCAATCTTTAAACCCTCATAACTTTACGAAAAATGATCACAGGAGAAATATCTTTTCAAATTTGAGCTCAGGACAACAATAGCTTTCGAATGATATAAGAAAATTCCGTCAAAAATGGCTAGTTAAAAAGTCGAAATTTGTCTGAAGAAAAAAAAAACCCACCCCGAGCACAAATATTCCGTTACTTTCGTATCGAAAGTCGGAACAATAACTTCAACGATGAATTTTGTTTGAGCGGTTTTAAGTTCTGGCTCCGCAATTATTGCGCAAGGAATTAAGCGTGCGATTGTTATGCTCTTGATTAGCAAGCAATGTCAATTCGCGCCATATATTTTTTCTTGTAAACAACTTGTCCAACAAACAAAATCACTGAATCATTTTCCTAATTTGCTTTTTGTCAGACATGTTGGGACATGTCTCCAACAGGAATATTTCGAGGATGTTTGCATTTGAAATACCCGTTGTATTCAAGATTTGTTTTAATGTTGGTTTTAATGTTGGTTTTTTCTTGTTTTCTCGGCTTGAAAGTTTTCTGGAATTTACCTAATTGGCTTAATCGCGTCTACCGGTTCGATAATAATTTCATATTCACTTGTTTTATTTGTCTTTCCTAGCTTTTCTCGACATTTTCAATAAAAAACTTTGACTTAGCGGCTTTTGAAAAAATCAATTTCTTCGAAATTCGAGAAAAATAGTATCAACGGTGAAACATCTTTTCAGTTTTGAGCTCAATGACATCAATGTCTGATTGTATAAATACTCCATTCGAAAATGTATATTCAAAAAGTATCAATATTCGATACTTTCGAAAGTCGGCAGAATTAAAAAGATGCTAATTGTGCTTAAACGACGAATAGTAAGATGGACAAAAAACACAAAAGACTATCTTAAAAAACAAAAAAATCAAGCAACAAACTTGGTCGTGTAGTGAATTTTGGTTTGTCGAGTTCGCCAGCGATGGCCCTTGAGAATCTTCTAGAAGTTTCTCAGGTGGCGGAGGGACATAAAACTGACTGATTAATGCATCAACGTCGGCATCGTCATCGACGTCATTCTGCCTGCAATAATCCAGAGATCCCGAACTTATCCTTGTCTGAGAAGTTTCTGCATCAGCGCTTGATGATGTCGAAGAGTCCTGAGGAGCTGCGGGCGTATACGCAAATGTTTCCGAGTTTTCCCTCTCTATTTGAGAAGTAGTTTTAAAGCTATCACCATATACTGGTTCCCGATGTAATCTTAAATTAACAGTACTGGCGCCAGGCTTATATTGAACAGAATTTTCTTCCGACTGCTTTTGGACTCTTTTGTCAATTGAAGTTGCCGGGTTTTCGACATTATCGTTGTCGACTACCTGAGACTTTCGTTTATTGATTGCCGCCAATAAGTCTCCTTGAAATAAGGAAACTGGTTGTTCGGGTTGTTTATATTGAATAGTTTGGGTCTCGGTTACAATTACACTAGAAGGCGAACACAAAGCAAAGTCCTCGACGTTTGATACGGATCCGGATTTTGATTTCGCCGATTCTGGGACAGTTGAAACTCGATAAGTATGTTTCGTATAGGAGTCTTCATCCGAATCTCCGCTCGGCAAATTAAGTTTTTCGACTTTCTGGGAATATTTAGTAAGCCGAACATGTTTATCTTCGTTAAACTCGGAATCTGAATCTTCGTCGTCGTCGTCTTCGAGTTGTGCGAGTGGCTGGTTCCGCGCATCTTGCATCATCTGGAGCTCGGACTCACGGTTTTTCAAACCCGAACCAAATTGGTGTGGGTTATTATCAGTGTTATTGTAAACTGATTCGCTGATCTCGGGTATCGTAGAAGTCGTACTCGTGTTATCATCAGCGCCGGACTCGTTCTCGGAATCCGAATAATCAGGTGAAGGTAACTTGAATCCCTCGGAAGGTGAAGGTTGTTCGGGTTCTGATGACATTTGGGTCGACGAACTACTAGCTATGGTAACTGAGATTTCTTGAGTCTGAACATTTTGCGAAAGCTGCGAAGAGTTTTCTGTTTCTAAACTAATTTCTTTGTTAGTATTCAAAAGTTGCAATTGGGTTGATTTTTTAGGCTTAAAGCTACTGCTGCCGTTGGCAATCACTGGAATTGCAGACGTGCTAATGCTGTTTTCACTGTGTTGGTTCAGGGCAATTTCTGACATGCGAAGATTTGTATTGAGGTCTGTTGTTGAAAATTCGGTACTGGAATCTAAGTTGTTATCCAAATATCCTTTCTCTTGTGGTTTCCTCTTGGGTGGGGGTGGGGGTGCTGGTTTTTTACTTTTGGATAAATTATAGAAAGTGGATTTTAAGGAAGAGTTGATAGCTGGATTTGCAGCATTGTTTGAGCTATCTTTTGACTTGGACTTAATGACTGGTTTGTGGTTATTTTGGTTATGGTACGAAATATTGGCGTAAACAGTCTGAGAACCATTCGCTGCGATTTGCAACTCCTCGTCGTCTTCAATTAAACAGGAATTTCTGGAAGAAGGTACCGCCAAACTTAAAGTAGACGCCGAAGAACTGCTTAATGCTGTTGTTGATTCATTAGTTGAAAACTTCGTTCGTTCACTCGAGTTTTCGGAATTCGTATTCACAGATTCAGTTGACTCAGAAACCTCCCGGATGTCAAGGGCGCTATGGGAGTACATTTGACTGGACGGAAGTTTTTTGGCATTTCTAGGCGAGTCTCTTGCGCTTTGAAAAAGCTTTGGTCTAAGAGAATCTTGGGTTCCCGATTGACTGATGTTTGTTGTTCTTGTTGAGCTATTTGGAGAACTGCTCACTTGAAAGAGGTTTTGTAAACTAGAAGGAGGATTGTTTGCTTGCTTCTGGCGCCCAGCTGTGTTTACAGGTGTAGCGTCTTCATCTAAATATTAACAGCAAAAAAAAATTACATTTTCATCTTCCCCCACTGCACTGGTAAAAACGGATTTTGTGCTTGAAACTGATTTTGAAGAGTTTGTATAAAGACTCATATCTCAGCGGAGAAGTAGGGGGGGGGGGGCTAAAGGGATAATTAGGTTATGCTAATGCATCTCGTGCTGCTTTTCTGCACAATCATATATCTGTTATTCTTAATTTTTTTTCCAAAATTTGATTTACGAAAACCTATTGACTGAACTTGACCGTCGATGTCAGTGAAAAAATTATGACAATATTTTAATGAGTAAATTACCCAATGAACAATTTTTAGGCAACTTTTAACTGTTATTTTTAGAAGGGGCAAGAAACTGAAAAAGAGCAGAGAGATCTGAAAATTTAAACAGGGATTTAAAAAAATTCCTTAAAGGATCGACCGTTAGAACTGAACAACTCAAAACCTGCTCCTTTCCCAGGTAGATTAGAGGTCTTAAACTAAATTAGCGGCTGAAGATTAGTTAGCAGTACTAACCACTCGCTTCTCTGTGTGGAGGAAGTTGATCCAGAGAAGGACTCTTGATTCTGTTCAAAGACAATGAGGTGTTTGGGTTCCTCTGAGGAGGTTGAGGAGCTCCTAAAAGTCAAGCGATTATTGACTCATAAAATTAATGAACAAGGAATTATCTTCGGACTCTGCTCCATTATAGTTCGCAGAAAATCATCGCCCCATAATGAGAAAATTACAATGTGACCGGGTTGAAAGTTGTTTTTTTTTGTTTGTTTCTAAGCTGGGGGCGGTGCTATAATGGAAATGATAATGTCCATGAAATTGTTAAGTCAAAATCTTTCAGCAAACAGGGCGTTTTTACATGTGATGTTAGACATTGGTAGAAAAATAGAACGAGAACACTTCGAAAACAAAAAGCGCAGACCGTATGAAATTGATACCATAAAAACAACAGTCGAATTGAATTGTATAGAATGTTTACGACTGGGAAAACGTGCATTTTCCCGACGTTTTGAAATGTCTTTGAAATTATGGTAATAAAAAGACATATACTGGACGACATTGAAAACGCATCAAAAATTGAGCCAAGTGTTTTTTTGGGTAAAATGGCTGAATAGGTTTTGAAATCATGCATATCAACTCTTGTACAGCACATTGGTTTCACAAAACCCCCAAATTACATATTGAAAGATTTTTCTTGATTCACAGTTTCAATGAATTTTCAATTATTGCCGTCAGAACTAATGTAAATTTCTAAGCTTCCTTCCCAAGTGCAATTGAAAGCGCTAAGTATTATAGTTTATGTTCAGCAAGCGAATGCTTGCAGAAAATAGCTGGCTTTAACTCTAAACGGAATGATTTTGTGGTCGGATTAGTTCATTGAACATAATGAAAACTTTCGAGAGCAATTTTTTCCCAAATTGGCCAAACTGCATTTTCAAGCCCCCATGATTTTACAGACCAAAAATCATTGTAATCGAACTTTGTTTTAAATTTTGACTAAAAGTTTATAGATATTTTTCAAAACAAAGCCAATCGAAGATTGGAAAAGAATAATGAACGCGCGTAAACCTAAAAAAAAGGTAAAGACTGACTTTGTTGAAAATGTCAACTTTTGAATTTCAAAGACAAAATAGATACCCTTTAAGCTCTTTGAAATTCTAGAACGATCTATGATTGGCGCTTTTTTGATACCATTAACCAGACTTGAGAAAACTGTATCAACAGCTAAAGTGTTTAATCCACTGGAAATCTAAAAATTAATTTCCATTTTCGAAACTAGAAATCGTTCACGTTTTTTTACGCCATTTTCACGTTCGTATTTGGAGAGTGCTATTTACGTCACTTTCAGCAAATGAATTTCAATTGAACTAAAAAAAGTGCATATCTACCTAAGTGCATTCATAAATGCATCAATATGTATGAATGCACATCTGTATTTATTAGAGACTATAATGCACATTTTAAGACTTTCCTGAAAAAAAAACACAAAAAAATCAGCAAGACCTATATACTTAATGATGATTTCAAATTTAACAATTAATTCTCAGCCAATAGCGCAGAGGCAACGCAGATGCGTAGGAAGGCAAATCATTTGTTCAAGTCCAGGTGGAACTTGATTTTTGCGAATATGCATTTTGGTCTTCTAAAAAAATTCATTTTTTAAAGCCTTTTATGGGTATGTTTTTTTTATTAGGTTATTTCAAGCAGCAGGGTGTTCGTGAACTTTTAGAAAGTTTTCTTTTTATTTAGTGCATTTTAAAAATTCCTTAAGGGCAAGTAATTGAGTTGCAGTGTTTGTTGCGGAATTGGTTATATAGTTTTTGTATAAAAAATATTTTAAACATTTTTTTGATTTCTTTTTGGGGCTTAATCATAGTTTTTTTTTTACAGTGAACAGAATTTTGTAGAAGTAACATCTCAGATTTCTCCTACATAGGTAGATAGTTCGAATTCCGGTGGGATCTCTTTGGAAATTTTTTGAATACAGGTTTGTCAAATTTTTGTCGATTCTCTCTTTTTGTTTTTTTAACCCTCAATGTAATTGGCTTTGTTTCGGAGATAAAATGTTGCATTCAAGTTGGCTTCAAATTCTTAAACTTTTTTTAATTCAATTTTTTCCACTTCGATGTTTTTGTTCGAAACTTTGTCGGCTTAGTTAGCGTTCCCGATTGTTGAATTTCCCAATTTAAGATACTTGAAAATTTATTTGTAAATGTTTAAGTTTATTTATTTGTAAAAATTTAAGTTTATTTGGTAGTGTTTATTTTGAAATGTTTTTCACTTTAATTCTTTTTGTATTTTTACTTCTGGTTCGCACTCTAAGTCGAGCAAGCGACTATCAATCTTTTCTTTTTTTATAATTTCGTTTTTTTTTCTAAATGTTTTTTTTGTATGTGTTTTTTTTGTATAATTTGAATGTATGATTTCATCTGATTACAATTTGTAAGTTTTCATTCTGTTTTCATGAATGATTTTTCTACATAATTGATTTTGTGAAATAAAGACCATGAACTTGTGCAATAAAGTGTCTAACAATAAGGAATTGTTGTTATTGGATTTTGGTCTTCAGTTCAACTTGACGAAATACTAAAAATTTTCCTTTGCACAGTCAATAATTTTTGTATCGCCTCATCCACTTGAAAAACGTAAGTCTGATCCTGTCGGTACATAGTTTTGCGAGTATTTTGAAAAAGACAAACGAAAACAAGAATACAATCAATCTTTTCTTTTTTTATAATTTCGTTTTTTTTAAAATGTTTTTTGTTCGAAAACAAGAATAGCCAGTTACTGAGCAAGAAGCACGGAATATTCCGAACATAGTCTTTACAAAACTTCAAAAAAAAAATTTTTTTTTTCAAATTAGGTAAATTATTTTCTGCGTGGTGATTAAAGGATCTGACGTAAATCTATAACTTAGGCATGGTCGACAGTCATATAAGCAAATTGGACTATTTGTTTTTGTGAAAAATTGACTAGAAAAACGAAAAAATCAACAAGAAAATGAAAAAAAAAAATCAAAATTGAATTATTTTGACGTTGTTGGTTTCTAAGATGGCGCAAAAAAAAAATTAAAAACTATTTTAAACCTGATGTTTGTGTGCTACCTGACGTTTGTTGGTTTCCAAAATGGCGCAAAAAAAAATTAAAAACTATTTTAAACCTGACGTGTGTGTGCTACCTGACGTTGAGTGAAAAAATAGAGAAAAAATACTAAAACGCACCCGATTGATTGTTAAGTTTCTCCAAATTTTTCAAATGGTCGGAACGGAACAATTAACCACAGGAAAAGCGTCTGAACATCAATTAGCTAATTTTTTTGTCACAATAGCTCAAGAAAACTTAAGATTATTAAAATGAACATCTGTCAGATTTTCTGCGCCGCAGGCAAAATTTTTGAAAAAAAAAAAACAGGCCAAAATAGACGTTTTAGGCATTTTTTGGAAAATTTTGACCAAAAATCGCAATTTTGCCGCGCGCACTCCCCCTCAAAACTAGTATATTTTGGCACCAAAGTCGCCTTTAGAAAACTTTACGGTCAGTCAGCCAAAAATAGATATCATCCCTCCTCTAAATCCGCTGGTGGTCATAAGTAAAACCTGTCGGATCTACTCAACAATTACCCCCCTCCCATGGTATCTACTCAAGAATGACCATCCCTCTAAATAAAAGCAGTAAATTAGCCCTAGAGGTTTCTTTTGAAATTCTAATTTCCTGCATTCTGATAGGCCCAAAATTTGACTTAACCTACTTAACAATTGCCCCTTTCTTGAAAGGTGGAGGTGGGTTGCAATTTTTAAGTAGATCAAAGCTGTGTGGCATTGTGACTTGCCTATGAGTAGTCGTTTGGAGGATAGGGAAGCATTGGGGTTGAGCATGGCACTAGAGTTGCGGAAAGGAGTCATGACTTTGATGGTGAAACCCTCATTCGACTGTTTGATCCTCTCCACTAGGTGACTGTGGGTAATGCCCCTCACGTCCTCTCCGTTGAACTGGAACAAACCACAATTTCAAACCTAATTTTAGGTTTGAAATTTATTTTTTTTTAAATCTTCAGGGTTTGAACTGTAACATGTCACACTTTATTATTAAAAAATCATAGCATTGTGTTTTTTTTTGCATTTGGATGAAGTGCAGCTCTTTCTCATCCCATTCTTCCCTCTCATAACTGCTTTTTTATTTAGGCTCCAAGTTCCCCGGGTCGAGGTCCAGACTTTCGCAACAAATTTTTAGCATGTCCAGACTTTCCCGACCACAATGATCCGTCGCGTCTTTTGCGACCGAGACAGAGATGGCGCCACCGAAATATCGCGACCCTTATTTGGTTTGAACAGATTTTTGCGACCAAGATTTGCCGTTTCCAGACTTTCGCGACCAAAAAACGCGGTCGGGATTTTCGCGACCAAGGCGGAGACGGTGCGACCGACCATCACGACTCAAGAAATGGCGCTACCAAACCCAGCCATTTCCAGACTTTCGCGACCGGAAGTGAGTCTGTGATCTCGACACGGGTCGATAATCATGTCCGTTTATTATACAAATTGAAGGTATTATAAATCGGAAGGAAAAACACTGAAATTCTTTTCTACCAATATGCGCATGTATGCATTTAATGAATGATACCCATTGACTCAAAAAAGACCTTGAGCTGAGTTTTGTCTATATGCTTAACATGCTAATTATGATTATTAACGAAACTTTTATGCTATTCGACTTGTAATGCTATTTAAATGGAATTCATTTTTTCCTTCCTTTTCTTTTCTTATGATTCAATTTTGAGCGTGAGCTTTGAACTGACCTCGAGGATGAAGTCTCCTGGTCTGAGCCCCGCCTTCTCCGCCGCACCCCCCTTGTCCACACTGTCGAAGTACTGCAGGGCGGGGAACTCAGGGGTGGGGATAAAGTTGGGCACATTGGCTGAAAAGAAAGAAACAAATTTTTACTAAGCTCAGCTTAAAACCGTAAATGATTTTCTTTTTACTCCTCTATTTGAACACGCTCACACACAAGATCACATACACACATCACCAATTTTGAAGTTTTGGTTTACCCTGTAATATTTTTGTCGTAACTTTCCGTTGAGGTATGAAGAACAAATGTGTTCTCGATAATTACTGTGTTGATCATGCAAAATTTTAATTCACGACAATTTTGAAAAACTTTTCCTAAAAATTTTCATTTTCTGAGCATTCCGAAAATACTATACGGACCCTATTTGTCAAAAATCTTCTGCGCCGCAGGCAAAATTAAAAAAAACAGGTCAAAAAAAGCGTTCGACATTTTTTTGGAAAATTTTGACCAAAAAATTGCGTTTTTCGGTCGATGCTCGCTCACCTCAAAATTATTATATATATTGGCGCCTAAGGCGCCTTTAAAAAAAATTAAAGTTGATTAGCAAAAAATGGATATCGTAAAATTATACCACAGGGGTGACCCTTTGGAAAAATTTGACCACCACCACCTTACCCCCCCCCCCCCCCCCACCCACGGCACGCTACTGATTATGACAATGTGAATAAAATTTTTTTGAAAATTAAAAATTAAAAAAAATTTATGTAAGTGTAGGAACTGTGCTTGGAAAAGAAGCAAAATTGCGAAATTAATTGAGGCAGACACGATGTTCAGTACCCACCCATGGCGCCTCTGATGACGAATCCGTAGCCCCGTTTCGTTTGCTTCTTCAGCTTCACCTCCCGCGGGAACCCCTCCCTCCTCGCCCCCTTGTTCCGCCCAAACAGACCCCCACTCCTGTAGGAGCCGCCCTTAATTGTACCTACAATAAAAATGCGAATAATGTTAAACATCAATCATAATAGAGGGTTGCAAAAAAATGCAGACAGAAAATTAATTTATAAGAATCAATAGACTCTCTGGAAGTTTTTGCATGCAAACTTTTGGTTTAACACTGCATTGCAAAGCGTGTAAAGGCTGAAAAATGGCCTCTGCATGAAAAAAAAAACAAAAAAATGAAATAGGTCAATTGCTCTTTTTTTTAGTTGTCCCTTTTTGGCTTTTATTTTCTTGTGTTCATTAATGTGTTTCAATGATTCTTGTTCCTCTGATAGGTTTTGATGATAATATTTTTGATATTAATTTTGAATAGTTTGGGAAGTTGGGTTAGTTGTTTGTTGCAGATTAGCAGTGGCCTTGACTGACCTTTCGAGTCTGGCATCTCGACGTGTGAGGAGGGGAACCAGCCGATCTTGTCTCTCACTCTGCCCTCCAACATGCCATGGTCGCCGACGTACAGAACTGAAAATACATCAAAATAAAAATCATAATAATAATTTTACTTTCAAGAGGGAAACTTATAACCAAACATTGTAAGAAATTGTACGTTATTTTTGGTGTGTAGAAAGCACATGAACGTTTCAACTGCTCCAAACTATTGAGCAGGAGCAGACTTAGGGGGGGGGGGGTAGGGAGGTGGACGTTCCTTTCTCAGGTATTCGACCCCTAATCAACCAAAGGTGTATTCTTGTTTAGTGTGGTGTGTTTACCAAAAAATACCCATAATTAAATTTGTTTTATACAGTTTTTTCAGAGATTGAGCGCACACCTTCTATGGTACTATTATAAGACAAATAACGCGTTAATTTTTCTAAAGCAGCCTTCGGCACAAAAACATACTATTTTTAAGAGGGAAAATCCGCGCCGACAAAAACGCAATTTGTAGGTCAAAACTTTGCAAAAGGTCCCTTGAAACGTCGTTTCTGGCCTTTTTTTGAAAATTTCTGCTACTAGAGCTAGTTATCAGTGACCTTCCTTTGAAACAGTAACAAAATTGAATTTAATAAATCGATTCAGTTAAGTTTCAATTCGACATCTGCTTCGATATATTTTTTTTAAATAATAAGATTTTTATTGTAATACCGAGACGTATGGTAATACCTCAACGTCGTGAAGGCGTATGCCTGTGACTGATTGCAGGCAAAGTTTTTAACTTTTTTTAAACTTTTTTTGGGAGAGCTTTCAAAAAAAATTTGGTCAACCTAGAAAAAACTTGAAACATTTTCTTAAAAAATACTCTCCTCCTTGAGAAAATTCCTGATCAGCCACTGCTCTTCAGTCTAACTTAACTTTCAACTTGAAAAAACTGTACTTATTTTGACTGGCTAAAATGAAAAAGAAAAAATTATTTGCATCTGAAAAATTGCAGGAATCCAATAAATTATTTTAAAAAATTTTGTAGCTTACTTTTCGCGCTAGCATCCAATCATTTCTCGAAAGTAGACAAATTAAATGTTGACGGAGTTAAATATGAAATTTCATTTAAATACACGCAACACCTTTAGGTAGGATAATGAAACCGGAAGGCTTGTACCTTTCAGAGACGAATTGGCATGAGGTCAAAATAGTTGGTTAACATTTTTTGAAGCCATCGTGTTCGTTTCCTGTTTCTGCTTTGATTAAACTCAAAACATATTTTGAAAGGTGAATCTCCTTGTCAATTAATGAATGTTTTGTGTACCAATTTTGAAGGAATGATTTCCTTTCTTTTGTACGAGAAACTGATTTACCTCAAATGGTCAAAATTTTCAAGAACGTTTTTTTTTCTTGACACTGGGAGGGGCAGCTTTATGAAAATCTATTAAGGTCTTTCGAATCACGGCTGAAAGGGCTTTAATATGATGTTTCACTCAATCCGGTAAAATTTTACCTGTTTGCTCCCGTGAAAAAAAAAACTAGTCGAAACGATTGGCCCCGCCTATTTCGTAAACACAAAAGCAAGCACGTGATTCAAACCAGGGCTTTGTGGTTGGTAACTAACTAGTAATTAACATGCTTAATATGAGAGCCAAAACACATTCTGAACCTGTTTTCATTAGGAACCACACTATTTTTGAGGGAGCAATAAGTAAAATAATAACCTCAATCAACTTTGATGATTATTTGTGAAACAAAATTTTTTGCACAAAAAAAAGAAAAATGAAATCCATCCAAAGAGAAAATCGTTTCCCAGTTTCAATAGTCGGAACAAAAACATCGAGCCTGGCAATCCCATCTAAATTTAAAACGAGGTCATTCGATAATATCTGAGAAAGAAAACAAATGAGTCAGTACAAACAGTTTACAACAATTTTTGGGTTTTATAGTCAACTTTTGTTTTCTGAAAAAACGCTAGTCTACAATTCTCATGCATGGAAACTGTATGACTAGCATTTTTTTAGAAACAAAAAGAAAAAATTACAATCCAAATTTTTTGTTGCAGGAACCCAAACAACGCTTAATTTTTTCCAGCAATTGAATTAGTTGTTCGTGCCTAGAAATTGCATGACTAGCATTTTTTCATACCATTTTTTTCTTGTTATGGAGAGACACCAATTTTGATAACAAAACAACAGAAGAAACCTTTAGAATTCGTTTAGACTCATTTTGCAACTCATTATAAAATTTATATGACTAGCATTTTTCCATAGACTAAGTGAATGGAATTGTATGATTAGCATTTTTGGTCTATGGAGGTCAACCCGGGTTGTCAGAGCATCAAAAATCTGAGATTGAGGAAAAGGGTCTGCATCCCCCCACCCTAAATTCGGAACATTTTACAGCGTATTTATCTTATTTTTAATTCTTTTGATCAAATGATATCTTTTATTTACAAGCATAAAAATTCTTTGCTCAAAAACAGTTAAATGTTTTTTTATTTTTGACATTTTTTTTGTTTTTCAAATTTTCTACAATTTAAGAAAAAAATTCCAAGCAAACGTCGAACTCTTCTCTCACCTTCGACTAGTGTTCCCTTTTCCAGAGGGAGATCTGTCTGCAGGTTGGATGCGAGAGAGGGGTGGTATGACTTGTGGACTCTGTAGTAGGTGCCCGGTAGTTCCTGGAACAGTCGCACCCGCCCCTCCTCCCCCTCCTGCTTCAACTCACTCGGAACCCCACGCAGACTGAAACAGAATTCATCCCTTTAGTAATTATAATCATAATAGTTATCATAATAATAATCATAATAATAATCATAATAGGAATAAAACCAATGATAGTAATAATAATAATAATGACAATAATAATAATAACAATCATAATAATAATCATAATAATAATCATAATAATCATAATAACAATAATCATAATAATAATCATAATAATCATAATAATCATAATAATGATAATGATGATAATAATCATAATCATAATCATAATCATATTAATCATTACACTAATCATAATGATAAGCATAATAATCATAATCATATTAATCATAATAATATTATTAATAATCATAATCATAATAATAATCATAATATTAATATGATAAATTCGTTTTCAAGAAGGGAACAAGCTCCATTTGGTCGACACAACTCCCATTTTAGATAAAAGTTTAAAGAATCCCATCTTGGAAGAAAACCAAAAAGCCAGTATAACAAAAAAAACAGCTTGTTCTTTGATATCGTTATTTTTTTTATCATTTCGGTCAAGAATTTATCGACTAGCGAAATGCCCAAAATACGAATATTCTGTGTTATTTTATCAAGTTAAGAATGAACGACTTTTCCGCGAGGGAGATGACCAACATATGAGCTGTTCAACTATTTACTGAGAAGCGCTGTTGAGCCCCTGCTCAAGAAATAAGTGCGATTTGTTGCCAGAATTGGTTCTATAAAACGTATCGGAAGTAACTAAGAAAACGCTCTAAATCTTGAAGTACCTTGCCGCTCAAGTTACATTTTTCATCTAAATTATTTTGGAGGTAAATCCATTAATCTTTAGTGTCTAGAATAGTATTCACTTTTCTGAAGTTTTCTTTTAAAGGCTGTTTTCGAAATGTTTTTTATAAATCTTCTCTCATTTTAAAAACATTTGGGTTATTTTGAGAAATTATTTTTCTGCAAAAGGCAGCAAAAACTCGCCGAATTCTGATAATTTAAGTCATTCAGTTGTATTGTTTTTTGTTCATGCATGTTTTTGCGGTTGAATGAATGTTCACTGCATTTTGTGCTGAACAAGCGAATGAATGTTGATTTGAGTATGAGCAAATGAGTGTTGATTTGAAGTAACCGGATTAAATGAACTAAAAAAGAAAATTTAAACTAGTTCTTTTCAAAATTCGTTATGTGAGGCCAAAAAATGAAAAAGACAAAAAAATGATTTGAGTTTTACAAGTTTTTTAAAGTGCACTTTTTTGCAAAAACTTAAACAAAAATTACATCCTTAAAAAAAGTGGCAATTCTTTCAGTTCAAAATTAAGGAGGTAAAAAGGGTCAATTTATGTAAGACTAACTACAATTGATCATATTTAACTCCTTATTTTTAAACCAAAAAATTTCTAACTAAAAAAGCTGGTTACATTTCCAAGCAATTTTTGTCTTTATCATTTTTTTGACAAAACTCAACCAATTTTGAGAAAAAAAAACTATTTTAAAAGTTATGTTTTACTTCAGTTTATCCGGTTATTTTAAATCAAGAATACAGCCGCTTGTTCAGCACAAAATGCAGTGAAAATTCATTAAACCGCGAAAAGATGCATGAACAAAAAACAATCAAATTGAATAAATTGTATCATCAAAATTCGGCGAGTTTTTGCTGCCTTTTGCAAAAAAAGAATCACACCAATAACCCAAATATTTGTGAACCGAGAAAAAATTTATTTAGAAAAAGCGTTCTGAAAACACTCTTTAATTGACTTATAATAAATTTGTGGGGTCAGACCATTTTATGCCATTTGCCCAGCTATCAACACCTCGCATTTCTCTTAAATTTTCTTGAGTAATTCTTAAGTAGTATATGCGAATAAAAATTTCTTTTCAATTAACAATTTTTGACATTTTTTGAGCTGAAAATCGAGTTATGTTTTTTAAAATTATTATTTTTTGTTAAATAGTTAATTTTGGTTTTTTTGTACGTATTTTATGGCTTTAAATCATCAACTGGTGTCCAGTGACCGTTAACTGCAAGACAATAGGGCTCTAATTGTTCTTAAGTGAGTTGACGCAAGCAAGTTGCCCGAAGCATTACAGTAATAGACGCAAAACTTATCACTTAATTTTTCACATTGCACTTGATATTTGGTATTGAAAAACGTGAAAATTGAAGTAGAAAAAACTGAAAATAATTTCAATGTATCAAAAACAACCCTAACGCTGATAAGACAGTTTGCTAGCTCGAATACCGGCGTGCGAAGGAGTTTTTTTTGTGTTATTATACCAAGCAATAAGCAAAATGGGGAAGCAGAATTCGATGTTAAGTATATATCAAGCTGAAACTCCTTAAAAGTTCTTTTTTTTTTCAAATAAAAATAATTGTTTTTATCATTTTCCTTTATGAGATAAAACTGCCTAAAATTTTTGATTTTCAAAATAATTTCAGTATTTTAAACAAACAGCAAAAGTTGTTACTGCAATAAGGATAGCCGGTTGCTCTGCAAGCAGTACAGAATGTTTCCGCCATACTTAAAATAATTGAAAAAATTATTATTATTTTTAGTTTCTTCAAATAACGGTTGCTTTTAGTCCGTAGTGTGATTTGAGAACTAAACAATTACGTAAAAAGATAGTAAATTAGGCGTGATTAACAAAGTATTAAGATAAAAAAAGGAAGATTTGAAACTTTTAATATTTTTCGCACACTATTTCAAAAAAAAAAATTTTTAATTTGTTTTTTTTTGCCAATTAAGCGCTAAATGATAGATAAAAAACGAAGAAATACAGTTTATTACATTACTATCAAAAATTTTTTAGCCAAAATGTCTGACAAAACTAGTAAATTTTTATATAACAAGCGTTACTTGGTCGCTTTAATCGCTCGAAAGTAGACAAAATCAACAACTTCGAAACAGTTTTTCTCGATGGGAATTTTTCAAAATTGGGTTTTAATATGATATATCAGTTTTTCTCAAAATTGGGTTTTAATATGATATATCAGTCAAAAATTTCAAGGGTTAATTGTAGTTTCTGTATTCGGGTGTGTTCTTGTTTTTTTCCTCGCAAAATCAGAAACAATTAACCATTGGAATTTGCGACTGATATATCATATTAAAACCCAATTTTAATATTTTTATCTTATTTTGTATTTGAAACACTATATTCGCCTATTCAGTAATTTTTCCGACAATTGAAAATGGGAGGAACTTTGTATTCGGGTGAATTCTTGTTTTTTCCTCGCAAATTCAAAGTTCCTACCGTTTTCAATTGTCGGAAGAATTACTGAATAGGCGAACATAGTGTTTCAACTACAAATATAAACTGCGTGGAAAAAAAACACACCCGAATAAAAAGTTCCTCTCATTTCCAAAGTTGGAAAAATTACTGAATAGGCTAATATAGTGTTTCAAATACAAAATAAGATGCACGGTACATAGCCAAAAGACAATTGGAAGAAAAACGTAAAGAACAAAGAAACCGAAACACAAACTGAGTTACAGTTTTCGAGCATATTTCAACTTCCAAAAATCAAAAAGTTTTACGTTGAAGCTCTTTGAGTTTCAAAATAATGTTTATGAATTTTTTTCGTAATTATGTGTCATTTAGAGGAAATGTGATCAATAAGTATTCTTTTCATTCTGCTGGAAAGTCTTTCACGTTTTTCGTCACTTTTACTATTTACTTCTTCGATTGTGGATTTTGTCTTCATTTAATAGAGTGAAAAAAATCATACGTCGAGCCGCGAAAAACCAAGTTTTAGCGTGAACAATTTTAGGGCCCTTTCCTGAGAAAAAGCAATAAAAATGATCAAGACCTTTCTAAGTCAGAGGCCGTTTTTTTAAATGATCTAAACCGTTTTTTTTACACTTGAAAAAATACATTAAATGACTAAATATTAAATAAAAAAAATTAGTTCTGAATTCTCAAAGATTGAACGCAACCCTTCCCAGGGGCAGATTTAGGGGGGTGGCGGGAGGCGTGCATTCGCTTTCCGCGCCCTCATCAACCAAAGGCCCCCCTGCAATAACATTTTCGGGCATCCGTTTTCGAGTGACCAACCTAAAAATTTTTTCTCAAGGCATCTTTGGCGCAATATATACTAGTTTTCTAAATTTCATGGGGAGCACGCGCCGAAAAATGCAATATTGTGGTCAAATTTTCCAAAAGAGGCCCAAAAACGGCATTTTTGACATTTTTTGAAATGTTTTTGCGGTGCAAAAAAAAATTGGCCAAAATAAGGTCTGTATAATTTTCATGGAGCCCTCAGAAAGTCAATTTGATTAGTTTGAAAAAAAAATTGGCAACAAAAACTCCGCCACCCCTTCGAGAAAATTTAGATCCCTTCCTCACAAAAAATGGCGAAAATTTGAAAATTTCTGAAACGTTTAGACCACAAAATATTTTGTTCAGATTCTCTTCTAGTGTTTTTTTTTGCTACAAGAGCAATTGAATTTGGGTCATTTTGTGCTAGTTGAACTACAAATGGTTTTCTTTTTTGATTATTTTTTTGAAATTTGTGTTTTTTTTTGTACTTTTATTTCTCTTTTTTCTACTTTTTTGCTCGTTGACTTTAAAAAGCCCTGAAAAACTACTAACCGTTTTGGAGTAAACACAATAAACACTTCAGTGTCTTTGCAGTCACTGTCATGTTTAGGATAAGAGTCCATTTTTGGTTAATAATAGAGGAATAAATAAATATATCCATAAATATTAGGACTCAAATTCAGCGGACTTCTTGATGTGAAAATATCAGCAAACAATTCTCAACACTCGATGGAAAAAATGACAATTTCAACAACTTTTACAGTGCTGCTTCAAATTGTTTGAATGCTCTGTTTGAAAAATGATAAATACCGCTCAAAATAAAAAAAAGAGCGGAAAATCGAATATTTTAATATCCATTTTTATTTTAAAAAAAAACTGCGTGTATTATTTAAAATCATCGATGTTTAATCATGAACACTTTCAGTGTGTAAAATTCAATATGAAATTTTGAACAAATTTTGATAAATCAACATTTTTGAAAC